AAGAACAGACATATCGATCAGTGGAACAGAACAGAGAACCCAGAAATTGACCCATGCCGCTATGGTCAATTACTAATTGATAAAGGAGGCAAGAACATACAGTGGAGTAAAGACAGTCTTTTCAAAAAATGGTGCTGGGAAAATTGGACAGATACATAGAAAAAAATTAAACTAGACCACCAACTTACACCATACACAAAAGTAAATTCAAAATGGATAAAAGACTTAAATGTAAGACATGAAACCATAAAAATCCTAGAGGAAAACAGACAGAAAAATCTCAGACATATCTCGTAGCAATATGTTTGCTGATACACCTCCTAGGGCAAGAGAAACAAAGGAGAAAATGAACAAATGGGACTGCATCAAAATAAAAAGCTTCTGCACAGCAAAGTAAACCATCAACAAAACGAAAAGGGAGCCCACTGTATGGGAGAATATATTTGTCAACGACACACTGGATAAAGGGTTAATATCCAAAATATATAAGGAACTCATACAACTTAACTAAAGGAAGAGAAACAATCCAATTAAAAAATGGGCAAAGGACATAAATAGACACTTCTCCAAAGAGGACATACAAATGGCTAAGAGACATATGAAAAAAATGCTCAATGTTGTTAATCATGAGAGAGATGAAAATTAAAACCATAATGGGGTATCACTTCACACTTGTGAGAATGGCTGCCATCAACAAGTCAACAAACTACAAGTGCTGGCGAGGTGTGGAGAAAAGGGCACCCTAGTACACTGCTGGTGGGAATGGAGACTAGTGCAGTCACTATGGAAAGCAGTATGGAGTTTCCTCATAAGATTAAAAATTGACCTACTATTTGACCGAGTGATTCCACTTCTAAGAATATATCCTAAGGAACCCGAAATACCAATCACAAAGAACTTACGCACCCCTATGTTCATAGCAGCACAATTTACAATAGCTAAGATCTGGAAACAGCCCAAGTGCCCATCAGTAGATGAGTGGATAAAAAAGCTGTGGCACATTTATACCATGGAATACTATGCAGCTGTAAGGAGGAAGGATCTTTTATCCTTTGGCACAGTATGGAGGGAACTAGAAAGTATTATGCTAAGTGAAATAAGCAAGTCAGAGAAAGAAAAGTACCACATGACCTCACTTATACATGGGATATAATAAACAAAATAAACTGATGAATAAAGTGGGTCCAGAGACACAGAAGCATGGAACAGACTGAAGGATCTCAGAGGGAAGGCGGGGAGGAGGGGGTATGTGGGGAGAAATTAACCAAAGAACTTTTATGTTTATAAGCATAACCCATGGACACAGACATTGGTATGGGGAAAGCTTGGGGAGTGGGATGGATGTGGGATGGAGGGAACAAGTGGGGAGAAAAAGGGGACATCTGTAATATTCTCAACAATAAAGATAAAGAAAGTTAAACAAACAAAAAAAAGATGATTTGGTGGGAGGAAAAAAAATAGTATATTCATCAAACAAATGGAATATCCAAACCCACACAATGTGCAAAAATTATTTCAAAAAATCAGACCTAAACAGCAAAACTATGAAAGTCTTAGAAGGAAATATAGATGTAACTCTTCAAGACCCTGGATTAGGCAATAGCTTCTTAGATATGATACTAACACCACAAACAACCAAAGGAAACAAAAGATAAGTTGGACTTTATAAAAATTTAAAACTTTTGTGCATCAAAGTACACTGTCAAGAAAACGGGGAAGAAAGCATATAGTATAGGGGAAAATCATATTTCTGAAAAGAGTCTAATATCCAAAATATATAAAGAACTTTAACAACTCAACAATAAAATGACAAATAATCTAATTTAAAAAATGTAGAATCTAAAGAACAAAATAAACTAATGAACAAAATAGATCCAGTGACACAGGAGCATGAAACAGACTGACAAATCTCAGAGGGAAGGAGGGGATTAGGGGGAGAGATTAATCAAAGAATTTATATGCACAAATGCATAACTCATGGACACACACAATAGTATGGGGAAGGCCTGAGGGTGGGGCAGATGCAGGGTGGAGGGGATCAATGTTGGGGGAAAATAGGGGACATCTGTAATACTTCCAACAATAAAGATAAATTTTTAATAAAGTGCTAAGCATAAAGGAAAGAATAGATGGATTTGAAGAAAAAACAAAATTACTAAAAAATTGAGAAAATGTTTAAAATTATAAACATCTAGACAACAAAAGAAAGTGAAAAGCCACAGATTAGGAAAGATATGTGCAAAAACCTTAAAATTAGTTTTAAAATATCAGTTTGGATAACAACTTGGCAGTATCAAGTAAAGTTGAAGATGCACACACCTATAGTGCAGCAATTCTACTCTTAGGGGTAAATCTTACAAAACCTATTATACATATATACAAGGATTGCATAAAGATATTTGTTGCTGCATTGTTTTTAGACAGCATAGCATTAGTGGTTATGAGGAAAGATTCTGACTGACTGAGTTCATATCTGAGGTATTTCATCTACTGGCTGTGTGACTTTTAACAAGGTATTTAGCCTCTCTGTCGCCTATTTTTTAATCTGTAGGGTGAGAATAATAGCATTTATCTCATAGAGGATTCTTCTAGGGATTAAATGAGTTAATATTTATAAAGAAACTAAATAGTACCTGGCAATAAGAATTACAATAAACATCTGTTAAATAAAATAGGTACTATTTTATATATATCACATGTGACCCAAATATCCATCAAGAAGAAAATGGACAAAATAAAATGTGCTATATTCATATATATAATTAAGAATTTA